GGCGGCGCGGGGGAAGAAACGAAACCGAAGGCGCGGGCGGCGAGGGGCGCGTTACGAAACGAAACCGGAGTCCAAGGGAAGGGAGCCGGCGGCCGCAGGAAACGAAACTGGCGCGCTTCAGTCGGGCAGGGCTTCCTCCGGTCGCACCTCTTATCCCTCGGGGCCTGGGATCGTTCCTCCCCCGCCCCCACCGAAGCCGATCCGCATTTCCTTCCTAGGCGAAGCGGGTCACCGGCTTCGTTGTCCCCTGGAGGAATGGGTACAGCCTTGTACCAACCCGGGCCATAGAAATCACGGCATGTGAGATGGGATCAAATAGCCCATTCGGGGGAAAAGACTGGTAGAGCCCATGAAAGTTTAGTGTGTTTTACTGGTACAATGACTATTTAATGTAGTATTTCATTCCCCACCCCCTTATGTCTGACGAAGAGAACATGTCCACGAAGTTCACACGAAACTACAGTGGTACCTCGCTAGACAATTACCCCACATGACCATTTTTTTTTTGCTAGACATTGAGTTTTTGCTATTGCTATAGCGATTCACAAGACAATGATTCCTATGGGGCAATTTCGCTGGACAATGTTTGGTCCCTGCTTCGCAAACCAATTTTTGCTAGACGATTTTGACAGCTCCCTCCGTGCTCGCAAAATGGGTGTTTTTGGAACATTAGCTTCGCAAAATGGCTATTTAAACAGCTGATTGGCAGTTTGCAAAGCGGCTTTCCTATGGCTGATCTTCACTAGACAATGATGATTCTTCCCCATTGGAATGCATTAAACAGGTTTCAATGCATTCCAATGGGGAAATGCTTTTCACTAGACGATGATTTCGCTAAACAGCGATTTCAGTGGAACGGATTATCATCATCTAGCAATGCACCACTATATAATAGTCTTTAAGGTGCCACCATGGTTTTGTTGTGTGTGTGTGGTTGTGGGTTCCCCCCCAAGGTACTTGTACAGACTAACAGGGCTACCTCTTCTAAAACTCCAGAGTAGAAGTTTTAGATGGCCTGCAACTGTCCTCTGTCTTAAGAGATGGGCCTTAAAATCCAAATTGTTAGCCAAAGAATAGGGTGAAACCAACGTCCAGGCTGGAGCTGCTTCTCTCCTATGAAATCTAATCAAGTCTTCCTGTTCAGACAGAAATTGCTCCTGCAGCCCATCTTTGCCTTTTCTTTTTCTAAATTTTATTTCATTAAAAGAACATCAAACAGACAACATAAACCTACCACCACAATAAAATACAATTACATAATATAACAGTGCCACCTTCACCCTCAGGGCCAGTATTAATAATATTTTAAGATTTTGTTCAGTCCATTTTCTCTCCAAAAAATTATTGTTTCTTCCCTCAGTTGCATACCCCTTCCCTCTCTGAAACACATAGTGTATTCCAGAAATACATTTTCCAGAAATACATTCCATTTTCTTAAAATCATTATTTTTTATATAAACCTTGATAAATTTTCTTAACACGTCAGTTTATCATTAATTGCCATATCCCATAATTCTCTATACCATTCCTCCAAATTAATTTGGTTGTCATTTTTCCAATTTCTTGAAAATATTAACCTTGCTGTGTAACCATTATTACAATTAAATCCTTATTTTCTTTCAGCAATTGATCCTCTTTGCATCTTTGCCTTTTCTTAAAGAACTAGTCAGGAAACCACTTGCAGCCAAAGCAACTGCTGTGGAATTGACGGGGGGGGGGGGGAACAGCTTCTCAACTGGCCCTTTAAGATGAAGCAAGTAATAGATTTTCCTTAAAAAATAATCAGAAGCTGGAAATCTGTTAGCATTCTAGACATGTAATTCTGGCAGACTGGTGACTGAGCTTAACTGTAAAGAAGCCGAGCTGCAAATGAAGCCTGTGCTTATCTCCTAACAATAAGTTGTGAAACAGGGAAGTTAATTTGCAAACTACAAGAAATATCAGGGCTGCCACTTTCTCCTTCAGCTGTTTTCTGCACTTAAGCAGCACACTTTTAAGGCATTCCAATTCCTAATAATGGGCACTCGGTAATTAATTTGGGTTTTAGTGTTATCTCACAGAGACATTAATCTATGTTGGAATGTGTATCCCAGTGGGTAAAGGCATAATCAATGAAAAGAGACAGGTTCAAGACTGACACACATTATTATACAGTTTGGCGGGAGGTCTTGCTGAATCTGAAGAGACCTGTTTAGGTCCACATTTTCACCATGGCCAACCGCTTGGTCTTAGAAGCCTGCCAGCAACACACTAAGAAGAGCACAACTTCTTCCTGTGTTTGCCAGTGACTGGTGCTTGTATCAGCAGCACACAGCTTATGAGGCTGGTAGCCACCAACAGCCCGACCCTCCACTGATGTATGTCCCAATGCAGCAAAAAGGGTAATGGGAATTCCGTTCATCTGAGAGAATAAAAGTAAAAGGGAATTGATAAAAATAAATTAAAAGGCTGGTAGTTTGTTTCCAAGAAAAGTACAAGGAGCCAACAGAGTCTTCAGGCACATTAAAGTTGTTTGTTTGACAAGCTTTTGCAAAGCGCAGCCTGCATCTTCAGTTGCTGGTTTTGCAGCAGACCAGATCCGAGCACAGTACAGTGGACCCTTGACTTACAGACGGCTTGACTTACAGGTCTTCAGTGGCTGGTTTTGCAGCAGTAGACCAGATCCGAGCACAGTAACTCTTCTGAAGTTTAGCACAATGTTGAGGAAATGATGATGGCATTAACAAATCATCCAGGGACACAATGGACTGCCAGCTCAGTGGCTGAAGGCATTTCAGATGTTGATGGTAAACCCCACACGCTGGTCTTTCTTCTACAACCTTCTTCCTTGAAACTGTCTTCAGCCAACATTCGACTGACCGTCCTTGTGGAAGAAAAATTAATTCAATCCTTAACCATACCTCAATCCTGTTTGGTGGAGGTGTGGTTAACTGATGAAAAAGGGAGTCAGGTTTTGGGGTCTTCCCTTGGTGGATCTTTCTGGACGGTGGACACACAAAGACATCTCGTAGACCAGACTGACTGCTGACATTGGTGTCAATGATCTTCAAGCTATGTGTCTCGTAGCAGCTTTTTTCTGCTGGCAATGTGGGCATAGTATTGCAAGCCAAAGTCAATTGCATGGCATTTTGAATCATGGACATAGAAGGTGCAGCTACATTCATAAACTACAGGTGTTTTTGAAGCACTGAATTTCCTGGCGTATTAAAACAAAACAGAACAGGTGTTTTTGAAGCACTGAATTTCCTGGCGTATTAAAACAGAAGGTTAGCAACATGCAGTACCTCCAAATTTACACTGGAATAAACCATTAGAAGATCTAGGCCACTGGTTCTTAACCTTGGGTTACTCAGTTTTGGACTGCAACTCCCAGAAGCCTTCAACACCAGCTTGGCGTATTAAAACAGAAGGTCAGCAACATGCAGTACCTCCAAATTTACAGTGGAATAAACCATTAGAAGATGTAGGCTACAATACTATATACGCCTGAAAACAAGTCGCCGGGTTTTTCTGGGAGTTGCAATTCAAAAGCATCCGAGTAACAAAGGTTAAGAACCACTGATCTAGGCTACAATACTATATACGCCTGAAAACAAGTCCCACTGAATTCAATATGGCTTCCAACTTAGTAACTACAAAGATCTGCAGTGCAAATGTTTTTGGTACATAACACGTCCCAAGAAAAGAATGCTTCAGAATACTGTGTCCACAAATGGTCCCGCCTACCAGTATGCCCAGAATAAAGTCCACCTGAGTTCAGTGACACTTATTCCCATGATAAGCCTGCTATCCTAATATACTGTACTCTCTTCAAATTTAAAACAAAGAAAGCAATGCCCAGAATAAAGTCCACCTGAGTCCAGTGACACTTATTCCCATGATAAGCCTACTATCCTAACATACTCTCTTCAAATTTAAAACAAAGAAAGCCATTGCAAGGATCACTTCCCTTAAAGCAGTCATTGGCACTTGAAAAACAAAATTACTAGATTTGTCCAGTGACACTTATTCCCATGATAAGCCTACTATCCTAACATACTCTCTTCAAATTTAAAACAAAGAAAGCCATTGCAGGGATCACTTCCCTTTAAAGAAGCAGTCACTGGCACTTGAAAAACAAAATTACTAGATTTGCTATAAGCTGTCAAAAATGAAGCTAGTGCAATACATTAGGTGCCTCTTGAATTCAGTCAACCCAGAAAAAAAGGCAAACTAGCAAAAAAAAGAGAAGAAAATGAGGGGGCAGATTTAAACGAACTGTGAATGTCAATGGCAATTAATCCTGAACTTTATACTGTATTATATCATTTTGCTTTCCCTAACATCTCAAGGCTAGCCCTAGCATAAATAACATTGTGAGTGAAAATCAGCTTTGGTAGCCTTTCCATGGAGTCAGCTCTTCAGGGCTGCTCAGAAGGTTTAAGGGTCTGGGGCAGAGGTGGTACAGTACTTGGGATTCTCCAAGGTTAACTGAAAGGTCAGTACTGTACTTGAACATGCTGAAGAACCTTGGGAAAAGGTTAGCTATTTGCTTTTTGCCATGCTCCATCCCTGCAAGCAGTACTTTCAAAAACACACTCCCTGAGCTCAGCTAAGTGCTCCTTTTGACTTGCTTGGTGTCCCCTCAGTTTAGCATCTCAAGTGATCCCCTAGCTCGTTCACCCCCTAAACCTGGTCCTGTGTTGTATCTATTGGAGATAACAACAGAATGTATCTTTCATTGTCCTCTTTCACCCTACATGAGTTTGGAAATGGAGCCTATCCATGGACATAAGGATCACCCCAGTTTTCATGTGTGCCCGCAATGTATCTAGTACCTCTGTATGTTATAATCCCGTTACTTGGTTATCCTCCTGCCACATGTCACTTTGACTCATTTCTCTTTCAAACAACCCAAGTATGTTATGACTTAACTCTCAGCTCTGGTGCCTGTCACTGCTTCTCTTCCTTGGGCATCTCCTTGATTGGGGGTTTTCTGTTTCCTTATCGCTATCTCTTGTTTTAGCAAAAATTCCAAGTTGTTTGTACAGAGGTTGGTCTTTTTCCATTCTTACCACCCACTTCAATCCCACGAGGCTGCTTGAATATTTGCTGGTTTGGTCAGGTCTTCAGGCTAGACTGGCGACCTAAACACAGCTCCAGCATGGAATAGATAGGAAGCGGTGGGAATATCTGAGACCTACTGTGGTGTCGTGGTCAGAGCGCTGGACTCAGCAGATCTAAGATCTCATCTCCACTGACCCATAAAACTCACTGGGCTAGTCATTCTCTCTCACTTTGACCTATCTCACAGAGCTATTATGAGGAGCATGTCAAGAAGAAGAGAAACCTGGTTTGCTGCCTTGAACTCCCTGGAGGAAAAGTAGGACAGAAATATTAACTAATAAAATTATGTTAATGTCCCAGATCTCATGGGTGACCTCGCCGAAACCTGGTTTGATGCTTTGAACTCCCTGGAGGAAAAGTAGGACAGGAATATTGTATTAACTAATAAAATTATGTGAATGTCCCAGATCTCATGGGTGACCTCGCCCCGAACGCCTTCCTTCATGCCATGTGCAGGTCAAAGATAGGTTGCCCTTGTGATGCTCAGGATGGAAGCTCTAGGTGGTATTAATAGGACTGCTGCCTGTCAAAAAACAAGGATGTTGAGAGCTGCCTAGATGACAGAAAAAGAGATACCTGTACTGAAGGAAGTTTGTTGACAGGGCCCAGAAATGCTGCTTTTTTGAACTGCAACATGCAGAATTCCCCTGCCAGCTTAACGGCTGATGGGGCTGTCTGATTCTAAAAGTTGCAAACCAAATACATAACCTTGTAAGTTTTGCACTTTCATTTGCACCTAAAGGGAGCTGGAGAAATTTTAGGGATTTAGGGAACTGCTGTACAAACATGGGTCTATCTAACGTGCTGGAAAATACTTGGCCCTCCAAATGTTGATGAACTGTTGTCAACATGGCCAGGGTTGTTCGGGATGACACACACAGGAGCCCAACATCTGACAATGGGCTGCGATAGTTGCCTTAGCCGATGTCTATGTCGATTGTCAGATCCCAGGGACTGAACCCAAGGACCTTCTAGGAAAACCCACTTGCTGCAGGAAATTGCAATGTCGCCATTTCCTCCTGGTCGCTCCTACTCCCCTGATGTCTGTATCATTAAATTTGCACATCAGGCATGGCATTCAACAAATGGACCTCCACCATCCTCCCACGACCATCCTAAGACATTTTGGGGCCTGAGGCAGAGGAAAAATAAGACACACACACACAGCACACCTTCCAGGAGGAAGCTACCCAAACACAGCCATATTATTTTAGTACTGGAGGTAAAAAACATATGGGCACCATTCTTCCTTTCCGGCAATAAAATTAGAATAAAAACAATTGAATAAATAATGATCCTCAGCCTTCTCAAGACACCCGAAACTTGATGGCCGCCTCCCTCTGCCTAATCATGGAAGGGCCTGTCCTGTCGCGCTAGTAGGAAAACGCCACTCCCACTGGGGTTGGCAGGGCAGAAGCACGACACCGGTGGCAAAGGGGGGGGGAATTCTGTCTGTCGGACGGGCACACGGGCAAGCGAGTACAGCATTCACACAGTGCCGCGTCTGAGGCCAGGCCAGGGCCTCACTTGCCCTCACAAAAACCAGCTGGGGTGCGCCGGAGGACTGGCTGAGGAAAACCGCGCCCCCCCCCTTAGGCTGCCGCCCTGGCTCAGCTCCCAGCCCCTCGGGCGTCGGGGAGGAAGGGGCGCGACCCCTTTGTCCGCACTCCCACAATCGCCGTCGTTTCTGCGGACTTGTCTCGTTTCCCTGACACGCGTCCTTGCGTTCACAAGCAGAGAGTCTGGCCCTTGGCGAGGCGGGGGCATCGGGTGCCTTTGGACCGATTTCTGCGTAACGGAAACCGAAACCTTCCCCGCTCGGTCACAGGCGCCCCCGTTATCAGAGCCGCGACCCCTTTGTCCGCACTCCCACAATCGCCGTCGTTTCTGCGGACTTGTCTCGTTTCCCTGACACGCGTCCTTGCGTTCACAAGCAGAGAGTCTGGCCCTTGGCGAGGCGGGGGCATCGGGTGCCTTTGGACCGATTTCTGCGTAACGGAAACCGAAACCTTCCCCGCTCGGTCACAGGCGCCCCCGTTATCAGAGCGCTCAAAAGCCCGCCGCTCCGAACCAGGGAGCGTCAACTACCACTTCACCCGGCGGTGCAACTACACGTGCGGCTTCTGCTTCCACACGGCCAGGACCTCCTTCGTGTTGCCCCTCGAGGAAGCCGAGCGCGGGCTCCGCCTGCTCAAGGCGGCCGGTGAGCGAGCGAGCGAGCCGCCCCGGGGGCCGAGGAGCCGCAGCGCTCGCCCGTCTGGCAGGTGGCGGTTCAACAGGTGTAGCTCCGGGAGGGAGGCCCCCTGGCGTGCTTGTCTGGGGGAGGGAAGGAGGTGGGGGGGTAGAGGTGGGAAAGAAGGGCAGAAGCCGCCGGATTCTTCACATTTAAAATATGGAGCGGAGCAGGGCAGCCTCCTCTGGCAGCAGGTTTTGGGTGCCGGGAAAGGGCATCGAGTGCTTAACTTGCTCGTTTGGCCAGAACTGCGGCGGAAACTGAGGGAGGAAAGCGCTCGATCGCTTGGTGTTTGTTTTCGGAGTCAGTTGCCCAACAACCTGCTGAATACTAGGCTGCGCCCCTTGACTCGGGCGGCCGGGGCGGGGTGGCCTTGGGGACCCCTCGGAAGGCAGGATGTCTTCTGTGGGCCCGCTTTTTGGGCATCTTCCTTCCTTCCCCCTTTCCTTCTGCCTGCTTGCTTACTTGCTTCTTTCCTTTCTTTCTTCCTTGCTTATTTAAAAAGGGATCTTCTTCTGTCCTTCGTCAACCTATCTCTGGTGAATGGACATGCAAACAGTAAAACACACAATACTGAGCATATTCCAGCAATCAGGAAAAATATCAGAACAAGATGTCACACCCCTTATTTCTGATATTGATGTATACCTTTGCCTTGCCACGTTAATATTTAGGTAACAGTCTCTTTAAATCACTGCAGGAATAAATGTCCTTGTTTTCTTTAATAATCCTCACTTATTTTCCTCTTGCTTGCCTGCTACATCTGTGTAAATATTTACCTTTCACTCAGACCCGGATAATGCCCTCCACATAGCTAGCCCTCAGGTACTGAAATCAGCATCAATGGAACAAATCAAGTTTCCCTAAAATAACAGTATTAAAAGAATGCTTCACATCCTTAGGCTTTTAAATTCATTCAGCAAAATCCTTCACTCTTTCTGTTACCTTCTCCCCCCCCCAAGCCCCATCTCTCTTTCAGACTCCAAAACCACCCTCACCCTTGATTTCTGCCCCCACCAGACTGCTTTCTGTACAGTGGTGCCTCGCAAGACGATTGCCTCAGCCGATTGCCTCACAAAAATGAATTCGCTAGACAGTGACTTTTCTGAGCAATGTTGTACTTCCCAAAATGATTATTCCTACAGGCAATTACAATTTCCCTGTTTTGCAAGACATTCCCCCCCCCCCATTGGAACACATTAATTACATAAGACCTACTTTTCTTATCTGAAAAAAGTATATGCTGCTAGGACAAAAGTGTGTGTTCCTGGCTTTTCAGGGTCTGCCTCCTAGAAAAAGACCAGCATACACTTTCTCACTCACTTTTTTGGGTTAAAAAAGTAGATATTGTACAATTAATGTGCTGCAATGGGGGAAATCGTCTTGCAAAGCACTGCTAATGGGGCTACTATTGCAAACCTAAATGAAAAAGAGTGGCAAAAATAGTCAGAAACCAAAACATAAAGAAACTATAAAAAATGTAATCCCCTTATTAACAGCTGAGCTCCCCAGATTTAGGGAAATCATAGGAATTAGCAACACAAGAAAAGTATAAGAACCTCACCTAGGAAAATGATTTTTATGACATACCACTTTCCCAGCAAAATATAAACAAGAATGGCCCTTGCATCTCCTACCCCCTTCTGTCCCCTAACCCCCTAAGTCATGGTGACCCCCTGGCTGCACCTCCCACTCAGTACAGGGCTGCACAGCCCCAGTCCTGCCAGAGGCCAAGAGAGCTCCTCAGTGTTTTGGGGTGCCCCCATCAGGGGCTAAGTGTTCCTAGCATTAGCTAGGTGTTC